CCCGCCGTTGCGCGCCCGATGTGCTGATGCGCTGGCGGCCGTCGACGCCCGCCCTGATCGCCCTCTCGACGCTCAGCTTGCTGGCCGTCGCGCTGCTGCCGGGCGGCGCGCGCGCGCCGTTTATGGCTGACGCGCACCATGCTGCGGCGCAGCACGGTGCCTCGTCACTGCCTCACGGCGCCATGTCCATGCCGATGAGCTTCGAGCTCTCCTTCGACACCATATTGGTAGGCGGCAGCTACGGCAGTACACTACCTTCGCCAGGCCCCACGGCTTAGTGCAGTTGGCTTCAGATCCCCACCACAGCCGCAGTTTCTCACAGCCCGCGCCCACCCTCCTGCCGCCTGCTCGGTGCCCATGCAAGCACCCCACGCCCCCCACACCCTGCCGCGCCCCCTGCAGTGGTTCAAGCCGTGGCACCCCCGCACGGCCGCCGCGTGGCTGCTGTCAGCCCTCGTCCTCGCCGCACTGGGGGTCGCCCACGAGGCGCTGGCCAGCTTTCGGGTCGCGCTGTCGCGGCGCGCGCAGAAGCAGCAGGGCGGCCTGTACTCCGCGCTCATCCCGGGCGGCGGCGGCGGCGGCGGCGTCAACGATCTTGCGCCGCTGGGGACGCGCGCGCTGCACAGGTATGATGCCTCGGCGCTTTGCGCAGCCCAGTGCGCCGGTCCCTCCCCCAGCATGTTCTTGCACCTTTGTGCGTCGAGACAGCTGCCCGGCAGCTGCCGCACCCGCTGCCGCCAGGCAGACAGCAACCTAGCCGCCGACCGCGCGGCGCAGACTCCCGCCTGCCGCGCGTCCCTGGCGCGTCGCCGATGGTCCCAGCGGCCCGCTTTGGCGTTTCATGCGTGCGGCACCGACCAGCGCGGCCGCCCCTGCCGCCCTGCCGCCCCGCAGCTCCCTGTACGCGCTCAACCTCGCGACTGGGTACCTCCTGATGCTGGCGGTGAGGCCCGCCGCCAACGTCAGCGCCACTGCCACCGCCAGCGCCACTGCCGCTGCTAGCACCTACACAAACACAACCGCCAGTGCCAGCACTAACGCAAGCGCCGGCGCCGCAAAAACAACAGTTGGGGAACTGTTGCCACCCAATCCTGGCCGATCACTGCCACCAACCAGGCGCTGCGCGCCGGCCCGCCCCCCGCCCCACCAACCCCTCCGGCCCGCCGCCACCGGGCCCCGCGCCGCGCCCCTCAAACGCGCGCTCGCTGCGCCGAGTTCGACGCCCATCGCGGGCCCGCCAACCCCGCCGCTGCTCCCCTCCCAACACCGGTCCCCGCCGGACGCGTCATCCCCGCCCGCCCGGCTCCACCCCCACTCCCCTCCCCCCAATTTTCTGCCCCCAGGTGATGACCTTCAATGTGGGCTACTTTTTCACGGTGGTGCTCTCCATGGGCGCAGGGCACCTGCTGTTCTTCAACAGGACCTGGCACCTGGCGCTGCCGCGCGCCGAGGCCTGCTGCGAGACCAGCTCGGCGCACGAGTAGCGGTAGCCGGGCGGGCCCCGCCGTCGGTTTTCCTGTTGCGCGTGGCGCGGAGCGGGTGCCTGTGCACGCACTTGGCTCCATACGGGTGGCGCGGACGCCACCGCACCGTTCTTGACCGGTCGCTGCCGACCAGCCTCCAGATGGGCGGCGCCTGCCGTTCGATCATTGGTGTGTTCTCCCGCACTGGCCGTTCGCCGGTCGTCCAGCCGCCGCCCCGCCTCCCCGCGCGCCGCGGCGCGGCCCCCCTGGCCGCCAGCTGCACCCCGACCTTGCGCCGCTGCGCATGCTTTTCACACGGTCACCGTGAGGTAACGGTTACCTCACCTCGCGCTGCTGAGCGTCTTGACCCTGTCAGGCCTGGCCTTCGAGGCACCCCGCCCTGCCCTGCCCCGTTGGGCCCCTGCTCAGCGCAAGGAGCCACCTCAATCCCTCCGCAGCACTGCGTGGCCAGTGACGCCGCCCACCCCTGCTCCTACTCGGCTTTAGGAGAAAGCTCTTTACCTGTGATCACTGTCAAAACTTGATGCCGAGTTACAAACGAAAATGGCGGGCGGCGTGTTATGTCCCTCAGTCCTGGCGAGCCCTATGGGTGCTTGAAAGTTGTAGCACCCTTCAAGGCCGGCCGGACCGCAGATGCCGCCGCAGCCGCAGCAGCAGCAGCAACAGCAGCCAAAGCCAGGAAAGGGGGACGTCCGCCCCGCGGCAAAAAATGGGTGCGGTGCTCGCAGGGGGGGGGCGTTTGCATATAGCACTTCCGAATGGGCATGTGCCGCTGGCGTGGGGCGCCGCCAACGTTCCCGTCGGCACACGCACAAAGGCCGGTCTCACCCCCGCACTCCCAAACGAGCTTTCCGCAGGCAGGGGGCCCGTTCGCGTGCGCGCGGGTGCACAACCTCAGCGGCCGCCGCCGCCGCCGCCGGTCTGCCGGGCGCGTCGGCGGCCCCGCGCGAGCCTCCAGAACGCAGCCCGCCCCTCACTCCTTGAACGGCGCGAACACGACGGCCGAGTTGTGGCCGCCGAAGCCGAAGCTGTTGGAGACGGCGGCCGTGACCGCGAGCTGCTTCTTCTCGTTGGGCACGGTGTCGATGCCGGCCACCTCATCGACGAGGTTGTGCTGGTTCAGGGTCGGGTGCAGCCAGCCGGTCTGGATGGCCTGGGGGCCGGGATGAAGTGTTGTTGGGTGGGGGCGGTTTCGGGCGGGTTTTGGTGGGGGTTGTGGACGGTTGTGGGTGGGCGGTGATGGGTGAGCAATTTCACAGGGGCGTTGGGGCCATCCGGCATGGGGTCTGCAGGGATGCGGCTCTAGCGGCTTTGGGGGTTTGATGCAGGTGTGCGTGGGCGGGGGGGAAGGGGTGTGCACAGCAGCAGGCGGCGCAGCTGGGTGGCCGGCGCCCGTCCGAGGGCGTCGCGAAGGGCCCCACGAGGCCGCGGGCCGCGCACCTTGACGACCGCGACGGCCTCGATGCCGGCGGCGGCGCCGAGGCAGTGGCCGATGAGCGACTTGGTGGCGTTCATCTTGAGGTTTGAGGTGTCGGTGAAGACCTTCTTGATGGCCTTGACCTCCGCCACGTCACCCACCAGGGTGCTGGGGATTTGAACGAAGTGTTGGGTTGGGCGGGTGCGTGGTTAGGGGAGGGTGCGCGCTGTCGCCGGCCGTGCCCCAGACAGCAGGGGGTTGATCGACCCATGAAATTGCAGGCGGCGCGGCTCCCAGTCCCATGCATTGCCCTGGGGACATGCCGCACCAACATGAGCTCGCAACGCACGCACACGTGCCAACGCACGCGTGCACACACGCGCACGCGCGTGCACACACACACACACACACACACACACACACACACATACACGCACACATGCGCTTGGCACGCACGCGTCCACGTCTCCCTCCCGCCCCCGCCCCACCCACACACACACACCCACACAACACACACCCACACAACACACACCCACACAACACACACCCACACACACACCACCGGCCCCGACCCCCGCCCACCTCGTGGCGTGTGCGTTGATGTAGTTGACCTGCTCCCGCTCGATCCCCGCGTCCTTCAGCGCCAGCTCGATGCACGTGCTCACCCCCAGCCCGTCCGCCCGCGGGTCGGTCATGTGGTGCGCGTCGCATGTGACCGCCCCGCCCAGGTACTCGGCCAGGATGGTGGCGCCGCGCGCCTGGGCGTGCTCGAGGGACTCGAAAACGAAGACGCCCGCGCCCTCGCCCATGACGAAGCCGTCGCGGTCGACGTCCCAGGGCCTGGGGGGTGGGGGAGGGGTCAGGGAGAGTGTGTGTGTGTGTGTGTGTGTGTGTTGTGTGTGTGAGTGCGTGCGTGTGTGCGTGCGCGCATGTGCGTGCGCGGGGGTGGTTGCGTCCGGGTCTTAAAGGGCAGCCGCGGGCCAGCCAGCGCTGCCAGGGCGCGCCGTGCGGCGCCGCTTGCGTCGTGCGGTCTCCTGGGCGCCCCGCGCGCGCGCGGCTGCGTGCATGCACCACTCCCGCCAGGCCTCGCCCCGCCGCGCCCCGCCCCGACGTGCGCCCCCTGCTGCGCCCCGACCCGCGCCGCCGCGTCCCGCTGCGCCGCGCCTAGAAGTGCGCCCCGGCCCCCCACCTGGAGGCCTTTTGGGGCTCGTCGTTGCGGGTGGACAGCGCGCGGCAGGCCACGAAGCCGCCCAGGCCCACGGGGATGATGGGCGCCTCGCTGCCGCCCACAACCATCAGGTCCGCGTCGCCGTTGCGGATGTGGTTGGCGGCCTGGGAGGTTGTGGGCAAATGTTGTGTTTCAATTCGTTGTTGATTGTCTGCACGTGGGGTTTTCGGGGCGCGGCACGGGCGGCGCCGGAGTGGGGGATGGTGCAAGAGCGGTGCGCGTGGGGGCTGGCGCCGGCCGCCCTGGCGGCGCCGCGAGGGCCTCCGTGCGCAGCGGTGTCACCAGCAGCAGGCGACCGCCGCCGGTTGCGCTGAAGGCGAGCCTTGATGGCCCTTGATGGCCTCCCTTCCTCCGTCTTGCCACCACCCACCCCCTGACAAACCCCCTCCTGGGCGGAACCGAAACCGAGCGGATTTGGCGCCCTCACCGACACGTATGCGTAGTTGGCAGTGGCGCAGGCCGTGGAGATGGAGTAGTTGGGGCCCATGAAGCCGGTGTCGATGGCCAGCAGGGCGCCGCCCATGTTGGTGATGGCGTAGGGGATGAAGAAGGGGGAGATCTTCTTGTAGCCCTTCTCAACCAGGTTGGCAACACCTGGCAGGTGAAAGTGGAATGTTTCCAGGGTTTGGGGTTTGGGGTCGAGAAGTGGCGGGGGTTTGGGGTGGGGG